GTGTGCAGCCCGGGATAGCCCAACAGTGGATCCAGAGCAAAAGGGAAGACATTGTCAGCCAGATGACCGAAGCCTGCCTCAACCAATCGCTGGATGCCCTTCTGTCCAGGGATTTGATTATGAAGGAGGACTATGAACTCATTAGCACCAAACCGACAAGGACCTCAAAAGTCAGACAATTACTGGACACCACTGACATCCAAGGAGAAGACTTTGCCAGAGTTATAGTGCAAAAGCTGAAAGACAACAAGCAGATGGGTCTTCAGCCTTACCCAGATATATTTGCCGTTTCTAGGTCACCTAATTCAAATTTATTTCTAAATAAAACTTTATAAATAAGTGTGTTACAGGAAGGAAAGCCCATTTTTGTAGATTTTGTATCTCCTTGTTTTTTGTAAAATCCATGTATACTAGAAGCTTTCCAGAAGTTTCCTCCTCTCAGGACCTTGCAGTATTCCTTTGTTTTTTCATTAATGTAAGGAGAAAGTGTTCGTTGTGCTACATAGTGTTCTTGTTTTGCCTGTTTTGTTCCCTGAAACCATTTTTTTTTAAAGTATAGTAATTGTATTGTGCTTGTCCAGAATTGTATGTGTGTTTCTGATGGGAACCTTTCTCACATTCTCTTTCTTTGTGGATTATTTATTATTTTTCTTAAGATGCAGTTTGGCTTCATAAAATAATGTCCTTTTACTTAAAGGTAATACAGCATTCCTATCCTACAGCCCCAGGTTCAACTCTCATCTAAGCGGTTATTCATTTTAATACTTCTTTATCCAAATTATATTGTTAATTCAGTGTATTGAGTCTTCAGTAAAAACTTTAAAGTAAAACAATATAAATGATATCAAGAGAAAATCACTTTAACAGCTATTTCCTACTCTTGTTTCTACACTCCACCCAGTCCACTGACCCAGATATAACCAGTTACCAGTCCCATGTGGATCCTCTACCTTCCATCCTGCTCGTTTTCAAAGTCGACATTCATTAAGAAGAAGATCTTTCCTTCAGATTTTTATTATCATCATAGCATCTCGCAATGTGACCTTCTTTTCACTTACTAGTCCGTCCTCCACAGCCTTCTGGGTGAGATCTCCGTCTGACTCGTTCCTGGTCATTGCTGTACAGTAGTAGCAGGGCTGCTTTTTTATTGACTGTCTCACTGTAGACCAAACAAGAAAGTATATATAAGCTCTATTTTTGGTTAATGGGATATATCACTAAATAAAAACCCACAAAGAATAGTCCTTTAAAAAAGTGTTTTGCAAGGGCTATCTCTGCAAAAAGTAAGATATAGCATAAATTTGAACATACAGATTTGAAGCAACAGACCCATAACATGGAAAAATGAACAAAAAGTTATTGTAATAAGTAATTTATTATAATAAAATTGAACATTTTATTACAAGTATAAGTGGTTTCATCTTCATTTTAGAGCTTTAACTTAGGGGTGTCTCAATATTGGTTTTGACAATTCAGAAGTTAATAAAGAAACATGAAAACTAAGCCCATGAGTTGCTTATTAAAATGTTTTATTACTGGGGAAGATGAACAGTTAATTTCATTTAAACAGAAAAGTCTTAGAAGCTTTCTCCTTTATATTCTAAAAAAACTAATTGTTTTGACTGTAAGTGGTGCTAAGCTAAATTTTATATCAATTAAACATGGTGTATCTGGGTTGGTAAAGTGGACTTGGCGTTTCCATCTTCTGCTGAGATCTAAAAAGAGCACAGTTTGATGATCTAAAAACCACAATTTATGTGGTTATGGCCACGTGCATACCGGTCACGTTCCCCAAAATTTAATATGAGGAGTCGTGTGTGTTCATCCCTGGTTACAACTACATGGAAAAATTCTACATGAATGACACTGATGAGAGAAAATGTTTGATGTAAAAGGTAATGTGCTCTCATCCATGTGTGAAATTGTTGCAACCTCAGCAGTTGGATTTCGTTATAGCCTCTCAAAGCAATTTGAGGTCATAGCATTGAATCATATATTGAGGAACTATGCTTCAGGTTTTTTCAGGCCTTCTGAGTAAGTGAAGGATAATGTCGTAATTTTGTGCTGTAAGCTTTTAATCTCCCTGTTAGGAAAAAAAAGAAGAAGCAGCCTGAGACTGAAAATTTAAAGAACAATATCTAGGGAAACTATTTTTGTGATATTTAGGTTCAAAATTATCTTCTACATAAAACAAGTAGTACTGGTTTTCTATGTATGGTAGTAATGTGTCGTTCTATAATCATAGTCAAAAAGTCACAAGT